CTCACGTTTGCATCCCTCTGCCTCAACTACCTCATCATGCGCGTGAACGCGCGCCCGCGCCCCCTCGCTCACCTCTTTCTACTCGCGACTGCATTCATCGCAGCCATCATCACTGCCGCTACCATGACGTGGCTCAAGGACCAGCGTGGCTTCAGGATCACCGCCAATGACAAGAGCAGCAAGAACGGACATGCTGGTTGGTCGCTCGCGCTGTACGCGGTCCACGTCGTGCTCCTTGCTGCTACATCCATTGTGCTCCTCATCTCCGTTCTTGGGCGACAAGGCAGGGCCCAATACACCACCGGCACCGGCACCGACACCACTGACAGCAGCAACAACCACGCGACACGTGCAGCGTACAGTGACGCAGATACAGCTGCGTCCACCTTGACGAGTGCACTGAGCGCCAGTGACGGTGTTGGTGGACAGGGCACGCTGCTTGTGGCGCTGCTTGACCTGTGCATTGGCGTGCACACGGTGTGTGCTGTCGCTGGTGGTGCTGGGGCCAGTGGCATGTTCGCCTACAACATCGCCCTTGCCCCCATCCTACTGATCGCGCGCTTCCACCACACGAGCAACAACAGAAGCAACACCAGCAACACTAGCAACAGCAGTGGCAGTTGCATCAGCAGATGGATTGCGAGGAATAAGGTGTTCGTGGCAACGTGTGTGTACCTTGTTCTGAGCATGGTCGTGGACGTGGCCTTGTTTGCAGCACGCACAAAGGCGCTGCTGCAACAGGCTGCGGATGGAACGCAACTGGTGCTTGCAGGCAACATGCTGTCCTTTCTCGTCAAGCCCTTCACGCTTGCGCTTTTCGTCCGGTGGGCAAGGAAGGGAGGTACCAACAGCAGCAGCACCAGCAGCACCAGCAGGTACGCTGACATCAGCGGCAGTGGCATACCTGCTGGCGAGGGCGATTTGACTGTGCGTGTTCGTGCTGTGAGTCAGGGGCTGGTGTCGTCTCCAGGGCACGTTGTACTGGTGGGAGAGGAACGGTGCTCCGATAGCACAACGGCGCGTGATGCAAGTGCTGACGGGAACGCGGCTGCCGTGGTTGCAAACACTGCACGTGCTCCTGAGACCGACACACAAATACAACAACAACACCAGCAGCAGCAGCAGCAGCAGCAGCGCAGGGGGCGGAAAAAGCGGAGGAAGAAGCCATCGGCTCGAGGCCAACTTGCAGCGCTTGACGTGCCTGCAAGCACTGGGGTCATTGACGTGCTCGAGTTTGAGTCAACCACAACGGCAGCAACAGGCACTACACCAACAGCAACATCAACAAGAGCAACCGCAGCAACGGCTGGGGCTCGGCCCAGGCATCAACACGATACAGCAGGGCAGGGAGCAGAGATCACGACGGATACTCGCACTGCATCTGGCCAAGTTGTGCCCGGAGGTGCGAACAGTGGCCGTGAGCATCAACGTGCGTGTAGAAACGAGGGTGCGAGTAGCAAGGAGACTAACGAACAAGATAGTGGTGGAAGAAGTACTGAACAACAACAACAACAACAACAACAACAACAACAACAACAACAACAACAACAACAACAACAACAACAACAACAACAAGGGCTGGGCGTGGATGACGATGTGCTCTTTGCCAACGCGCGCAATTTCGACGCCGTGCTGAAGAATGCTCACGCTGGTGCCACTGATGGTGATAATCATGCACGTGCCACCAGCACCGCTACTCGTGGTCGTGTCGGTGGTGCGAGGAGTGGAGATGACACACGTGCTCCAAAGCGAAGGGCGCGGCGCGCGCGTTTGGAAAGGAGGGAGCGCGAGCGGATCGAGGCAACAGACACGCTTGCACCACTTGACCTCGTGCAACTGCGCATGCACACACGCGCGCATCCGTCAGCATCACGCCATCGGACGAGCGGTGGATGGAGAGCACAACCAGACCTGCGCGATGAACGCTCTGGCATCGTCAGTGATGACGATGATGGTGTTGACGATGATGGTGGAGGTGCGAGGAGGAGAGGTGGGAGTTTGGATCGCAACAACGCTGCACGCGTGCGGCCAATGCAAACACACGCACCGCTGCAAGCAGGTAATCACGTTGGTGGTGTCGTTGAACACTCGAAAGCTACAGGCGGCGTTGGCGAACACGTAGGAAGACAGCGCGCTTTGAGTGACACGGCTGCCAAAAGTGAGAATGGTGATGGTGATGATGACGATGGTGGTGATGACGAGCAAGCGCGCAACAGTGCACAACAGCAGCACCAGCAACAACAACAACAACGACGACAACAAAAACAACAACAACAACAGCAACAGCAACAGCAGCACCAGCACCAGCACCAACAACAAGGTGTTATTGGTCGCTTGTTCCGATCGCGGTCGTTCACCGCCCTTTTCCGTCGCAGCGATGACAGACACCACCAAGACAGTGGTGATGGTGGTAATGATGGTGAGAACAATGCAAGGCACGCCACCACAGGCAGCAGCAGCAGCAGGAGCAAGTATACTGACAACGATGACGTTTACAGGAGATATGATCAAGACCGCGCTCCTGCTGCTCCTGCTGCTCCTGCTGGTGTCGATGCGCGCACGTGCAATGATGTCACCGGTCGTGGACAGGCTCGCCCGGCCGTCGCACCACGAAACGCAACGACAGCAGGTGCACGTGCAACAGCCGTGGATGAGAGCACCCGTCGTGCCAGATCACGCTCGCTGCAGCACTTGTCTGCACATCATGTTTCCAACACCGATATTGGTCATGGTAGTGGGGCGGTAGTGGGGTCACACGGAGGCGACTCCTTGTTTGAGGGGAAGGAGGACTTACTCGTCACGCGAGCAAGGTCGTCATCCCTAAATTTTTCATCACCGCAACCGTCGCACACAGCACGGCGCCTACATGCTGATCACACGAGTCAACAACAACAACAACAACAACAACAACAACAACAACAACAACAACAACAACAACAACAACAACAACAACAACAACAACAACAGAAGATTCCACGGCGACATCGCCGCTCGCGTTCATCCTCGTCATTGCGCGTTACAAACACGCATGCACACCAAGATGCACCCACCACCGACACCACCAGCACCAGCACACGTGAACACGTCGGGGTGGCCATGCCACAACCCACACCACCAGCAACTCAACGAGTTGCCGCTGCTGACAGCAAGCGTGCCAGCAGTGCCAGCGCCCGCGCACGGGTTCAGCGCAGCCGCAGCCACAGCCGCACACGCACACGCACACGCCCACGCTCACGGACAGGATCTCTTCGCCACACGGAGGCAGTGGCAACAGACGCCAGACAGCAGACAGGGAAGGGGCGGGCGTGTCCGGTGTGTGGGCGCGTGTTTGCGGATGCAATCACAGTGGAGTTGCATCGCAGGCGAGGCAGCTGTGCCGACTGATGTGTTTGTTTGTGTTTGTGTGTGTGTGTGTGTAAGTGTGTGTGTTTTTGTGATTATGGTTGTGTGTGTGTGTTGTGTGTGTGTTTGTATTTGTATTTGTGTGTGTGCGTGCGTGGGCTTTGTATTTGACATGAATTTTTCCTCATAAATGGACTTGCAATCAATGAAGTTGCTTCTCTTCATGCTATTCGTGTATTTGGTGTCAAAACGCCATTGGTTGAATGCAAAGAAAGCTGGACCACCCAACTACACACTACACACTGCACACGCGCACGCACGTCAACAACAGAGGGGTGGATTGGCACGTGTTAGGGCAACGCAGGCATCTGGACATTGTGGTTTGGTGTGATGACAGTTGCAGCCGCCACGAAGAACAGAAAACTGCACGTCAATTACACGCACATGCACAACGCATGGGATCATGAGTGGGGTAACTATTAACCATGAAAGGATGCAGGGAATGGTACTACACTCTCACCATGGAACAGCAAACAATGGCGATGGAACACAAGCATCACTGGGGATGTAACGACAACGAACGATTGCACCAAGTAAGTGCATGTTAGGCACGACCGTAATGTAACACATTGACATTTGCGAGTACACCATGGACACTTGCAGACGTGGAGGCATCTGTCTGCATTAGGTACACTGCACGTGTGGCACAACATGATACAAGGGCGGGGTAATAGACATCGAGGTAAGGCGAATAAACGTGACAGCGTGCAGATGCAAGCTGGAAGAGGCGAGAACCAACAACCAGCAAATGCATGGCACGGCACAAACGCATCATGGATGCTGCAGGAGAGACATGACAGGCAGAATGCACAAGTGTGAATGAACACAGGTAAGGTAAGGATCGACAACGCGGGGAAGCGGGGGAGCGGGGGAGGCTACGTACAGAGACACACAGAGAGACACGAGGAGGAGTGCCTCAGAATTGCTGTCATGTGTGATAGCCGCAACGGTGAGAAGTAGATACTCGCAGACGGAGCAGGGGATTGTCAACTGCAACACAGTGAAATCGTCTACAAGACGAGCAAAGGGTGGCGATTACGGAGTTGGAGCCATCTGGTTGCTCGGCCGCACGGAGGGACGAACAACGAAGCGAAGCGAAGAGTGTCAGGAGGTGTAGTTGGTGGAGAAAAGAGGAGAACTTGTCACGGTAGCAGAACATCCACGTTTTGGAACAGCGTGGAATTGCTTGCCAGCAGCATCTCGGTAACGATGTTGTAGAGAAGGCCTTGATTGTTCCTGATGTGAAGAAAGAATGCAACGCCTTGGTTTGGTTTGGTTGGCGCGTGGGGTTGTTCGGGGAAAGGGTGTGTGGACGCACATGTGCGCGTGGATGGCTCTTGCTGGACTGGAGAGACGAGAAGGTAAAACAGCCGGGACAACACAAGAAGGGGCCCATCCATCCGCTGCTTGTTACTGATGCCAATGCGTCATTACGCAACTTGGTTTGCGCGTGCGCGCTGGAGGCATTTCATCACGACTGCGCCAGGCATTGGAGCGAAGAATCATCATGGAACATCGTCCATGTGCAGTCCAAAGTTGAAAGTTGGTCGTTGTTTTCACACGGATCGCCAGCAGTGGTGTTGGTGGCATGCCCGTCATGTATGGTGTTGATCAAAGAAAGAACAGTGCGTTTGGGCATGGGGGAGCAAGAACAAGCGTGAGATGATAGTCGCCGGAGTATACGTGTCGTGTTCGTCTGTGAGCACTCGCATGCTCACTGGCATGACAGCGGGCATAGACGCAGTGTGCAGTCATCAGACTGAAACCCAGATGGAGGCGGGGGGGGGGGGAGAACCCACCCACACACACGCACGCACGCAATTGTGGTGGTGGTACGACACGCCAGCTGTTCGCACCTCGAATGACCATGTTGGGATCGCGATGGCACGCGGCAATGGTGCGGCAGCGTGTGCACTTGGACACTGATCGACGACAAAACCACAAAGAAAAGGAAAAAGGAAGGAGGAAAAAAAAAAAAAAGGACAAAAAAAGAAAGGGAAACGAAATACGTAGCAGAAGACAGGTTCGTGATTATTTTGAGCGATGGTATGAATGGTGAAAGCGAAGGAGTGAATGGTGAGAGGATAATAACCACTTCTGGACATTGAACAATTAAAGTGGTGGGACGTCCACAAGGACACTTGCACTTTTTTGCAAGTGCGCGCAGACACAAGAGCAACAGCACATTCCAACAACCACAAGCGTGCGCGACACGTGTGTGTGTGTGTGTGTGAAGGTGAGAAGTGGCTCTTTATGTACACTGCTGGTTGTGCAACTCACCAGAGTCTTGGTGGAAGTTTTCATCCGTGCACTGGTAGTTTTGGGAGCACCCGCGAGGCATTTCCTTGAGATCTGCGTGCATGCAAGCAATGCGAGCAGGCAAGTAGGCATAAACATGGCGGTGATGCGAAAGCAGAAGGGTCAGCGACAGTGAAGTGGGGTGAGGTGTGTATTGAGGGAGTAAGCGAAGCTCGCAGCATCAAGCAGGACTGGAATGACGAAACAAGCTGCCAGCGTGCACACGTACACACATCGCTGAACACGCGGCAACGACTGCCCCATCTTCAACACACACACACACACACACACACACACACACACACACACACACACGCAATACCTTCGATGAGTTGGTCAAAGGAAAACTGCCGCATGTCGTTGAGGTAAAACACGCGACGCGGGTCTCGCCGCACCCATTTGCGAATGTCATTGTACACGCCACTGCACAATTGCACAATACACACGCGCGCGCGTGTGTGTGTGAATGCGCGGTTGTAAGGTTTTGGATGAGTTTCGGGTGGCGACAGAGAGAAAGATCGTGTGTTTGGGGCAAAGGGCATTTCATGTGCGTGAGCGATAAGGTAACGACGATAAGGGTCATAAACAGGCAGCGGGCGGGCAGGCTGTCGTGTGAGCTTGCCAGCACGATAGAACACTCAAACAAGAGAAACAATAGAATGCCACGTGCCAGCTTGCATCAGGTCTCACCAGTAGCACGTGGAGCACAGCTGCCTGCTCAGCCACAAGGTTTGACGACACAAACACACAAGGCAAAGTGTGAGAATCAGTCGCATTTTACAAAACAAAACTAAACAAATGAAGTGATGCGGGCATGTCGCTCTTAAATCCTGCAACGTCTCGTCCCCCCCTCCTCTTTGGTCATCGTTGCCTCGCGCACACGCAAAGGAATGACAACAAAGGAATGACACGCACATGCGCGGCTACATCAAACAACAACGAACGAGCACAGGTTCGCGCCCATGTTATTTCAACCCAAACACGCACAGCAAGGAAACATACAAACAGACAACCAAACAAACAGATAACCAAACAAACGCACACTCAAAAGAATGCATCACAGACTCAAACATTGCAACGACACATTCACGTCCACGCCAGCAAATTACAACGTACCCCCGCATGCCGTGATCGCTCTCGCGCTGACAGACGCAGCAGATGTTGCTTTCGCGCTTGGCTGGCCGTGGATAGCCAAGCAGACGCGCAATGCGACTGGCTGGGTCTTCCACCGCCAGGCCAGCCATCATGTCCGTGCTGATCCCGGACGGGGATTCCACATCCCCGCTGTCCGGCATTCGCGGTTCAAATTGCGCGGCGGTCAGCTGTTGTGGGGACGCGTGCGAGCGTTGCATGGCGTCCATGTGTTGCTGCTGCAGTTGCGGTGATGTCGTCATCTGCATTGAAGGCAGCTGTGGTGCGAACGTGCCAGGCTGGAAAAACGCCTGTGCAGGCTGCTGGTGGTGCTGCTGTTGCGGCTGGTGCGATGGTGATTGCTGGTGCTGCTGTTGCGGCTGCATGGCCAGTGGTGACATCTGATGGGGAATGCCACCAGACATGCCTGTGAGGGCAACGCCGCTGCTGTCAACAGGCAGCGCGCTGAAGTCAAGACCAGGGAACATGGATTGCATGGCCATTGGCGAGAGCTGGCGGCTTTGCTGCGGCTGCGGCTGCTGTTGTGGCTGCTGTTGCGGCTGCGGTTGAAAAGGGAACGCAGACATGGGTTGCATGCGCGCGTTGCCCATGTGTTGCTGGTGCTGCTGCCTTGACCTTGATGGTGATGCCGTCAGCTGCTGCGGTGACACTTGCTGAAACCCGCCCACTTGTTGTCGCGGAGGCTGCTGCTGCTGCTGCTGGAGTTGCTGGAGCTGGCGAAGGTTTTCAAGCAACTGCTGCTGCTGCTGTTGCTGCTGTTGCTGCTGCTGTTGTTGGTGGTGTTGCTGCTGTTGGTCTTGGGTGTCTGGCCCCTGGAAGTGTCGCAGCATCTCTGCAATGGCGACGGGAGAGACGCCCAGTGGGGGTGTGCCTGCAAGTGGCGACATGGTGCCTGTTGATTGCATCGGCGTGCGCATGCCTTGCATCATGTCACCGCCGCCGCCACCACCACCACCACCACCACCACTGAGCGTGGACGATGGCTGCTGGCGCTGTTGCGGTGCCATGCGCTGTGAGAGGTCATGGGAGCTCCCAGGTCGCTTTGCAGGGAGCGGGTCTGGGCCAGGCCGCCTCTTTCCCGAATGGGAAGGTGGGGCGTGGTTGGACGCACGCGACATGCCCGGCGATGAAGGCGACGCCGTTGACATGGGCTGCTGCTGGTGGTGGTGCTGTTGTTGCAGGAGCATCATGAGGGAGCGACCGGCATCCGGCTGCGACATGGACGATGCCGATGATGTTGCTGATGACGAAGGCACGCCAGGCATCGGCTGCTGTTGCTGCTGCTGCTGCCAGAACCCTGCACCCATGCTGGCACCCGGGGAGGGCGATGATGTGTATGACGTGGGTGACAGCGAGTATGACAGTAGTGTGGGTTGCGTGTGCTGCTGCTGCTGCTGTTGCTGCTGTGACTGCTCGCCTGATTGGTCTGCCGCGCGTCGCAGGAAGTCTTCAATCGCTTGGTGCTGCTGTTGTTGTCCCTGTGGCGGTTTGGCCTGATGTTCCTCCTGCCCCTGTCCTTGCTGCTGCTGCTGCTGGTGCTGGGTCTTGGCCAGGCGCGCCTGCGATTGCATAATGCGTTTCTGCAGGTCGAGAATGGAGGAAACGCTTGCGTCATCGCCGCTTGCCGCCGCGCTGGCTGGCGGCATGCGTGTGCTGAGCAGCTGTTGGGTGGCGCGAGAGAGCTGGGATGACGACTGCTCATCCCCAGGCGCCTCCTGCTGCTTGTGTTCAGTTGTGCTGGACGCAAGGCCGTCATGTCTGCCGTGTGACGCGGCTGATGCCGATGCCTGCAGGCATGAATGGACAGACAAAACAAGATGCCGCAGCACGGAAACAGTGCCATGCCGGTGAGCGACCATGACGTTGCGTTGGGAGGGGGAAATGAGCGTGTTGGGGGAAGAAAAATGTCGGTGATCAGGGACAAACCAGACCAACAAACAAACCAACAAACAAACAAACAGACAAGCCATACAAACAAACAAACAAACCAGCAAACCAGACAAACAACCCCAAAGGAAAACAGCACAACGTGCCTGTGGCGTTGCCTGCGTGGACATGGCCACGAGCGTCTCTGCCGCCTGTTGTGAGGACGAGAGACCTGATTCATCGTCATCCTTCACGCGCTGGTGCTGGCGGTGGGACGTGTTGGACACAACACCGCCAATCAACGGCTCACCTTCATCCTGCATCATGCTGCTGTGACCGTGGTGGTGGTGGCGGTGGTGTTGATGATGGTGACCAGCTGCATCGCTCGCCGTGTCCATATCCATGCGAGTGTCCATCATGCTGGTTGCAGGTGCCGTGGTGGTGACACCGGCTGGGTGGGCAGCGCCAACACCCGGCGTGGATGACGGCGATGTGGTGTCTGCAAACAGATCACCATCGACAGTACCAGCGCCGCCACTGCCTGTCTCGCCCATGCTTGCTGCGTGGCGCGTTCGCTCCCCACAGGTGCCAGCACCAGCACTCCCGCTGCGTGTGAGACGGAGTGATGGCATGGACTGCGTGCTGGTGTGTCGGAGATGCAGTGGTGGTGGGCCTTGTCCATGTGGCTGGCGTCGCATCAGCAGAGACGAGCGTGCATCCTGCTCCTGTTGCTCGTGCTGCTGCTGTTTCTGCTGCTCGTGCTGGTGGAGCGCACTTGCCTTGTTGTCTGGGTCAGTGGATTCCGCTGATGTGGCGCGCGCGTCGTGTGCGGCTGAGCCGTGAGCGGCGATGCTGTGGCTGCTCTGTGACCGCAGCGACTGCAGCTGCAGCGCCGGCGTGAGCGATGCCCCGCCCTTGTCACTCTGCATGGTGTCGGTGGCGTTGCCTGTGCTGCTTAAGTGGGTGTTGGTGGCAGCGGAAGGGTTGTTGATGTGCGCAGTTGGGTGAAGACTGGCGACGTGCGTGCCTGCATGCAAAGGTCGGCCTTGTGCGTCACTCTGCATGACACTTGGGACCGGCAATGCCACGCCGCGGTGTTGTTGTTGGTCGTGTGTGCCGGCCTGTCGAAGTGCTGTCAGGTGCTGAAGTCCCAGTTGTTCCCAGCGAGGGTTCAGCACTGCCGCGTCTGGTGCTGTTGCCTGCAGGCGTTGCTGGTGCCGGTGGTGTGGTGGTTGTTGCTGCTGTTGCTGCTGGTTGTACTGGTGCTGTGCGAGGTCCAGGTGCTGGGTGATTGCTGGGTCAGATAGCGTGTGAAGGAGTGGCGTTAGAGGCGGAATGGCTTGGACTGCTGGTGCTGGTGCTGGTGCTTGTGCTGTTGCGAGAGGTGGTGCTGCTGCTGCCTGTTTGTCTTGTTTCCCCTGTTGCCTCTCGTCCATGCGAAGACGAGGGGTGCTTGGCTGAAACAAGCCGACGACGACGACGACGGCACGACAGCAGAGGGCTGTTACTGGTGCCAGGTGTCACTTGCCGCGGTGGTGGTGGCGCGAGAATTCACGAACAAAAGGCGATCTGTGTGGTTGTTGTGGTTCACGCGTGAAGGAAGGACAGAGCAGGCATTGTGAGGATGGTGGTGATCGAGAGATGGCACATGGGTTATGTGTGTGTGTGTGATATGTGATGCGACATGATGTGTGTGTGTGTGTCAATGGGTGAGAAGAGAAGGTGAGGAAGGGGAGAGAGGGGAATGGTTGTACATGGGAAGAGGGACAAGGCGATCATACGCTCGCACAGCGAGAGAACAAAGAGAAGTGAAAAGATTCTCAAACCGAAACGCCGTGCTTGTGTGCATGACGACAAAACCATGACGGTCATCAACGCACAGCCACCAAAGGAGGCGGGCGGGCAGAAAGGAAGCAAAGAACGGAAGCAGAATGGATTTGGTACAGATTTGGTTCGGTGTGATGTGCGGGTGTTGACAAATCTTGCATGGAAAGCAAACACAACGGATGTGTATGTATGTGTGTGTGTGTGTGTGTGTGTGTGTGTGTGTGTGTGTGTGTGTGTGTGTGTTGTGTGTACTTTTGAGTGTGTGTGTGTATGTGTACTTGCGTGTGTGTGTGTGTGTGTGTGTGGCCGGCGAGCCGAACATGGCGTGCGTACAACCGATGGCCACTCCTCATCATCAACATGCGCACAGCCATGTCAACACACGCACATAAGCACACGCTCATGAAGATCCACACACGCGCTCAACACAGCCAACGCACGGAACATAAAGGCTGCCGCCTGCTTACCCCCTTCTCCCTGACAATGTGTGATGTAACGGGCGAAGGGTGTTGGATGAAAATGGTCGACAACACACCTTCGTTCTGCCGGCTACACACGCAAGTACAACCAATGCACACAGCGCAAGTTGTGAGAACAAGCCGTGTGTATGTGTATGTGGTGTGTGTGTGTGTGTGTATGGTGACGGGTTGGGAGAAGTGTGATGGGTGGGTGCGTGTCGGGTGATTCAACGGGGAAGATGGTGGCTGGCTGTTGGACCTGGCGATTGTATGGATGGGTGTTGATGGTGCTGGCTCGTGCATGTGACACACTAACAAGCGCCCTTTAGGCAGTGATCGTTCGCGTTGTTTGATGGCGCGGTGTGGTGGTGGTGGTGGTGTGTGAAGGTGGGTGCGTGCATGCAGGCACACGCAAAAAAACAAGCAGCAGGTGCAAGCAGTGGCCACACTGCTGGTGCTGTGCGTGCAATGGCGTGTGATGATGGTGATGCCCAGGCCCAAACGCCACGCAATCCCCAACGCAGGTGTGCGCGGTGGGTGGAGGGAGGGAGGAGGATGGAGGGAGAGCGTGCAAAGGTGCACGGTCGTGGTGACGTGGTTGCGGGGGGGGGGGTGTAGATTGTTTGCAACCCAACAATGTGTCAGAGCAGGGTGCGCTCGTGCACGACCTACCATACAAAGCGTGGTGGCTGCTGCTGCTGCTTCTTCTTCTTCTTGGTTTGAAAGTTCGCGCCGGTGGTGGCGTTGTGTGTTGGTTTGAACAGACCGCTCGGCCTTGCTGCGTGAATGTGTGATGATGGTGAACCGGGGTGGGGGTGCGTTTGGTTCGTGGTGTGTGTGTGTGTGTGTGTGTGTGTGTGTGTGTGTGTGTGTGTGTGTGTGTGTGTGGAAAGAGCAGAGGGGTAAACACAGGTGTGTTGGTTGTTAGGCTTGCAATTGGCAGTCAGCATGCAATTAGGTTTGTGTGTGAGATGTGTGTGTGTGTGTGTATGCAGTGACATGGTGCGTGACGCCGACACTACAATGGCACGTGCCACCGTCACACACATACAAACACGACACACGGACACACACACGAACACACACATCTCACACGCATATGACACACATGCGTGTGAAGTCTGTTCAGGAGAGAGCGGAACACAAATAATCATGGCCTAGGCGCACAAGAGCTGCAGCCTTCAAGCAAAGGGTGTACGTGGAGGGCACGCACCTCTGGTTACGGGTATGCGAACAACGCGGCTTGCTGATGTTGGCGTGCTGGGTGATTGCGGGGATTGCGATGATTGCTCACGAAGGTTGGGGGGGGGGTGGGGGGAGCAATGGACGATGGCAGCACAGGCAAAGCACCGCTCGCAGCAAGCAAGCAGCAAAAGTGGAAGCGGCGGAAGAGGGAGAGAAGGGTGGGTCCGTGCAGTGCGATGGCACTGGCGCTTTGACCTCTTTGACTTGGCGCAAGCAACTGTGGAAGCCACTGCCTTGGGTGGTGGTGGTGGTGGTGGTGGTGGTGCCACGAACGGTGTAGTGTTGGGTGGTGGGTGCAGCGTTGGGTTGGCACCGCAAGCCACAGACACAAGCAATGATCGCACACCATAACGGCAGCAATCGTCAGGAAAGGTGAGGGCAAGCGATATATCATCATGTCAGCGTGGGTCGGTGTGTTTGGTGTGCAGTGTCAGGTTGGTGTGCAGTGTCAGGTCAGGGTAGGGTTGCGTGCAGGTACATGAATGTACGTATGTGCGTGCGTGAATGTATGTGTGTAAGGAAGTGTGTGTCGGGTGGGAAGCAATCACAGGCAAGTGTCCAACAAGATGATGGGCGGGTGGGCATGTTTCAAATAAAGGCACACAAACACACGTATGTTTACACACACACACACATACATACACAGAGAGAGATACACACCTTGCAGCTGGTGGTTTGCTGGCTTTTGTTGTGTTAAGGCACACACTCTAGCACTCTCTTTGTCTCACACACAGCACACACAGCACACGGGCACGGATCAAGAAATGAAACACCAACACGCACAGACCAAACACACATCAAACACCACCCACTTGCACGATCCCGCCGCCACCAGCAGTAGCAGCAGCAGCAGCAGCGATGGGTGCAGCGTGGTTGTCAGCGAATCCCGTGCTCTGTGCAACGACCAGCCGGCCAGTGAGTGTGGTGGGAACGAACCACTTGGGAACGGCGTGAGTAAACCAGGATCTAGTCTGGGGTGTGCGGTTCGGGGGTTGTGTCATGGGAAACGTGAGTGTGACAGCATACACACAAACGATTCGAAATCACACACATCGCACGGCTGGAATGCATGCTGGCATGCATGCATGGCAGCGAACCGAGCAGCACCAGCCAGGAGCTCCCGTACCCACCCACCCACACACACACACACACACACACACACACACACACACACACACACACACATGCACAAACCTGCTGGGTTGAGAGACAGGAGAGGGTCACAGACCCTGGCTGGTGATCGCTGGGCTACTCAGTGGTGTGGCAGCTCTTGGTGTGGCTTGTATTGGTCGTTGGAACTGCTGTGTGCGCGCAGCAGCAGAAGCTGTCGGTACCGGGTTGGTGTTCGTTGTGTTTGCGGCGCCCTCTGGCTTGACGGGCGTCTCTTCTTGCGTTCAGTTCGAGTGTGTAGGTAGTTGCTCATGTCCCCCCGCTCCGCTTCCGCGCAATGCCGTGTTCTTCTCTGTCACTTGTCCCATCGCCAAACGAGGCAAGAGGAAGTCAGCAAGCAAGCAAGCAAGCGAGCTGGGAAGCAGCTGCTGGCGATGCGTGCAGCAGCCAACAAGCCAAACAAACAAACAACACAACTCGCCCACGTTTTTTTCCGCGCACTCTGCCTGTTTGCAGCAGCAGTCATGATGTCGTTGTGCTTTTTTCGTGTCACTCACCCACTTCTCAAACACTGTCCCGCCGCCCCAACTGAGTCCACCAAAACATGAGTGGCGTTTTGGCTCCCACGTGTTTGCACGTTCTGCCGTTCTGCAGACAACCTATGTATATCTTCAGAGTATTTTCCGAAACACTGACGTATCGGTATTTCAAACTTGAAGGGCGAACGGAAGTGCGAATAACACCGTTGTGGGTGCACCCAACCTTGCGCGTGCGCAATGAGGCATGGGATGCAGGTTAAGTTTCGCACAGATAGTGGCTTCAGCCCCGTGCAGATGTGCTATCCACCGACATGATGCAATTGAAGGGAACTTCCTTTCACCGGACACGGGTGGCGAAGACGTCTGTGCTGTCAAGGCAGCAAGAACAAATGGGGGGAAGGCAAAGTCACACAGAACACGAGGAGGCAACTTGGGGGCAAGGGTTGTGCGATGAGAGTGGACACGTAGAGAACACGTTGTTCACATTCCACGGAGCCGCGAGTGGGGCTGAAAGGAGGAGCAGAGAGGTGAGGTGAGGTTTTGTGTGAGGTGAGGTGAGAGCATATGTGATGTAATGTAACACGGGTGAAGGAACAGGGGTTGATGTGAGATACATGACCAAACGGTGGTGGGAACACGGTGACTGCTTGTTGTGACCTCGACCTGCCTGATGGACCGTGAGCCTAGCTAGTATGTTGTTCAAAAGGATGCTAAGGAATGCAAAGGTGCTGGTGCTAGTGCACAGGCTGGCGCGGTGCTGGGGTGATGTGTGGGTTGGTGTGGCAATGCGCGACAGCGATGCAGGGGTGCGTGGGATGGCAGTGTTTGCAGATAGAGCAAAGGAGACAAGAGAAGGTACGTGTGCGTGCGTGTATGCATGTGCGTGTATACATGTGTGTTGATTGATTGAAACACGGAAGCGGGACGCGCATGGCATGGTATGGAGAGACGATGTACATTCATGTGTGTGAAGTGTGATGGTGTATGATGGTGTATTGAAGAGCACACGGAAATCGGCAACATGCATGGCAACCAAACACCAAAGATGTGGGTTGTGCCATGGTCAGAAGCAGCAGCAATGACAAAGGATGGGGGGGGGGAGGGTGGGGTTGGCTTCGTGGATGGATACACTTGAGCCACATGACACCACAGAAACACATGACACCCCAGAAACACATGACAACACAGAAACACATGACAACACAGAAACGCATGACAACAAAAACGAAGACACACACATGCTCACTGCACAACAACACAGGAAAGCCAGGCAGGGAGGGGCCGAACAACAAGGTGTTGATTGAATGAGTCAGAAGAGGGGCTGGTCACACTTGAGGCCACAGGAGCCATCACATGTGCACGACCACAGCGCACGAAACGCCCACGTGCCAGCAGTGTTCACAAGCACGCCCTGCGTCATGTGTGTGTGCGTGTGTGAAATCGTGTGAGGAGGGGGGATTGCAGCTGCGCTAAGTACACATAAGACACACACACACACACACACACACATATACACACGCACGCACATACACACGCACGCACATACACACATACACACGCACGCACATACACACACACACACACACACACACACACACACACACACACACACACACACACACGAATGGCACCATGGCTATGCACCTTTCGGGTGATGCCCCAGTCGGCAGCAGCGGACGATGACGTTTGCACGTGGCGATCAAGGGGCGTGTCACCCGACCCTTCAAACAACCTGCAGGCAGAAACGAACGTGGTCGAGTGAGATTGTGTGTGTGTGTGGTGTTGGGTTTGTGTTTGCTGCTGTGTTTGCGTGCATGAGCGTGCGTTTGCGTGTTTACATGGCATGCATTGCACATGCGCTGCTGCACGTACGGGTCGGAAAAGACGGTGGCTGGTGTTGCGATGGTCGATGTCTCGGTCACTTCCTGCCACGTCAAACCTGCAAACCAGCACAAACAAAGGTGTTGAAGTGTTGGTGCGTGCTTGAGTTGGGAAAGGCGGAAAGCACGACAAGCAGCGCTTTCGGACGCCATGTGACACCGAGCATATGTCACTACAAACCAGCACAGGCAAACAGACAGACAGACAGAGACACACACACACACACTATGCATACCTCCGTCAATGCTGGCAAGAGTGGCGTTTGTTGGACTGACGGCAAACAGACGAGAGTCTGTTCCCGTTCCAATCAGAGATCGGATGGCAGGAAGCGCTGCGGTGGGGTTGGGGGGGGGTTGGCGGTGCAATGAGCAGAGTGAGTGAGTGAGTGAGTGAGTGAGTGAGTGAGTGAGTGAGTGAGTGAGTGAGTGAGTGAGTGAGTGAGTGAGTGAGTGAGTGAGTGAGTGAGTGAGTGTGTGTGTGTGTGTGTAAAAGAGAGATTGTGTGGGTTTGTGAACAACTGTGGTGTGGCGATAGCGTGGCAGTTGAGATCCAGCAAACAAAGGCAATCAGTGACCACCAAAACACATACACACACATACACACACACACACACACACACACACACACGCACGCACACAGGCTCACTCACTTGACCAGCCCGCTGTGCCATCGTCAACTGTGGCGAAGCAGCCGTCTTTGCTGCATGCAAGCACGCGCTGGCTCGGGTGGTGCGCAAGGAGCTGCCGGAAACACTCGCAATCGCGCTCTGGTCACCAGTTATGCGTGTGTGTGTGTGAGTGAGTGCGGGTGTGTGTGAGTGTGAGAATGTGTGCGAGTATGCGAGAAGGTGTATGTGTGTGCGTGTGTGTATGCGTGTGCGCGTGTGAGAAGACAATCGAGGAGTATGAAGATGTGATTGGGTGTGGTACGGGTCAACAGCAGCCACTCTCACACGCAAGCAAGTATGCATGCAAGCACCGAGTCCCCAACTCACCCTGCTGGGTGGTGTTGGTTGACGTTGGCGGCGGCGTGCTGGTGCTTCCATCCGCCGGGACTGAAGTCGAGAACAGAACGCAATAGAAGGGGGATGGCACAGGAGAAGGGAAATAGAAGAAAGGTAAGGAAAGGGTAATCGGGGTGATGATGATGATGATACGTGAGCAAGCCGAAGGTGCGTGTGCAAGCACACTTGTTATGCCCACATGCACCTGCATGCATGCAAGCTTGCATTCTCATCAAAAAAAGAAAAACGACCAAACAAGACAGGGCCCGCGTGTCGTGTGTGTGTGTGTGTGTGTGTGTGTGTGTGTGTGTGTGTATGTGCGTGTGTGTGCGTGTGTGTGCAAGTGTACCGATGCAATTGATTGCGGACACGCCGTCCACATCTCCGCCCTCCGGTCGCGAGCACGTGAACGTCTGCAAGGAACAACACGAAAAAAGCGGACACGTCAGAGCAGAAAAGAATGAGAGGAAACAGCAACAACATAATGTTCACGTGCAATGCAATTTGATTGCATGTGCGGCGAGGTGATGTGTGAGGGAGAGGGAGGGGGGGTTGTGAGGGTTGGGTCGGTCGAGAAAAAGAGAGAAGAAAACAAAAAAAAAAGAGCCAGACACAACCACAACGAAGAAGCACAACACAACACGCCGTTCATGTAGCAAACAAACAACCGCCACAAAGCACTGGCAATACAGCAACCGAGTCAAGACAGTCGGCGCCACCTTGCTCTCGCGCGCATCGCCGTCATCCAAATCCTCCGCGCGCGCGCGCACACGCACACGAGATGGAGCAAAGCCTGCAGGCACACAAGGTGGTGATTGACACAACGGCAATCATGGGGATGGGGATGGTGATGAGGTGGAAGTGATGGCGGTGAGGGCGGCAGCATGCGAGCACCTGATGACCGACAGTGTCGCTTGCGGGCACTCACTCACAACGGGGGCAAGCGACACCATAAAGTCAAGATCAACGGCATACACATACGCACACACAACCACACAACCACAACCGCACCGCACACGCTAACAAAAAAAAAAAGTACACAAACAAAACACAAACAAGCAGAACAACAAACAAACACACAATAAACAAAACACGCACCGCTGCCTGGCACCGCGGACATTCGAACAGCGATGGGCGTTCCAACATCCCGTGCAACAATCTCAAACGTGTCTGCAGCAGGATGGAAGCATTGAAGCACACGCGTGCGTGTGTTTGTGTGTGTGCAAGGATTTGACAGACAGGATGAGGAAAGGTGTGAGGTGTTATCAAGGAGCGGCGTGGTTGGCCTTGGTGCACAGCGAAAAAAAATGTCTCTGCTGCTTGCAAGCACTTGTGTGCTGTGTGCTCACGTGCTTCCTCAGCGGAAATGTCGAGTGCGACGGAATCCCCGCTGCCAGTTGTCGCCTCGTTCACCTGAAGTCCATAAACAGGCGGTGTGTGTGTATGTGTGTGCATGTGTGTGTGTGTGTGTGTGTGCGTGTGTGTATGTATGTGTGTGTATGAATGTGTGTCACATGTCAGTTGCGGAGTGTGAAAGATGACGGGACAGGTGTGCATTCACGAAAGGGCAAGCACTGGCGCTTGTGCTTGTGTCGCCATGTTGACACGTTCACGTGCTTGGGCTTGACATATCCACACGTGTGTACGCACAATCGTTGCGGGCGATGTCCACACGCGCAACTCCGAATCGTAACCCGTCAGCGTCAGCGAAACACTCGAATCTGTGCATGTTGGTGTGTGTGTGTGTGTGTGTGTGTGTGTGTATCGGTGTGTGTGTGTGTGTTGCGTACATGAGAACACAGGCGGAAGGGGGAAAGAGTTGTACGAAGGGACATTTAAATTTCGTTATTCACATCTTCACCACCACACGTCGCGGCTGCTACCTGTGGTGGATGAGACGTCGGATGGGTAGAGTGTGATCCAGTAGCGGATAAGACGCGGCACAATGTTCACCGCCACGCTGCAAACGTCAAGAACATGTACGTGTGAACGTGCGAAGGAAGGGTAACGCAGAGGTGGGACGTAGACACGTCAAGCAAAGCATGTATGTGCTTTTGTAATCATACACATACACACTCTCACACACAGACAGACACAGACACACACTCACATACACTCTCACATACACACACACACAACACGGAGACACGAGTGCTGACCTCATGTGAGCCGATGAGCAGTGGGTAATCTCCGCCGAGATGAAGTAGTGTCGACCGACGTCAAGGCCAGTCACGTTGACCACGTTGCTCGTTGTCGATTCAGACACAATCTCAAGCGGGTTCTGAACCAAGACATGAAACCATGGATGACAAGGACATGTGAACACACGTACACAAGCAATGACTGCGGACAAAAGCAAACACACACACACACACACACCCACACACACACACATACACGAACACACGAGCATATCACGGACATACTCATCACCATACAACATCCCATCTCACGTTGAAGTTGCACGCTTCATAGTTTTCTTGCGTCACGCGGCGAACGCTGCTGGAGATTGAGCCGCTCCAGCGAAACCTGTACAGGTTCACCGAATTGCATGCAATGATTGAGGTGGGTGGATGTGCGGGTGAGTGCATCTTGCTTGTTTGTCCGTCAGACATTCCTTGCATGTGCGCATGTCTGTTGGTGCAACAGCGTACACGTGTGTGTGTGTGTGTGTGTGTGTGTGTGTGTGTGTGTGTGTGTGCGTGTGCGTGTGTGTGCGTGCGTGCATGTGTGCATGCGTGCGTGTGCGTGTGCAACGCACTGGATAATGTCGTCCTGGTTTGCCTCGACATCCGGCTTGGGCACGTTGTACTCCCAGTCAACCACAACAACTGCACAGATCATTGTCCGTGGATAGCGGTGTCAAGTCACTCTCGTGGTGAGGGCACAAGCACGGCTCATCAGACGCACTTGCACGCACACACGTACACACACACGTACACACACACACACACACACACACACACAGACACACACACACACACACACACACACACACACACACACACACAACCACAGACACACACACGCGCGCGCGCACATCCGTCTAACCCTTGGCGAGGTCTGACTCAATGGCTGGAATCGGCGTCGTGGTCATCACAGTTGGTGGCACCGTCTCGCCTGCAGCAAGGTGTGAACATCACACATTCAGCAAGCATCGTGGACCGTGAGTGAAGAAGCATCTTGCTCGCGTTGCTCGCTTTGCTTGCATTGCTCGCATTGCTTGCATTGTTTGTTTTTGCTTGCATGGTCATGTGAAGAAGGGGCATGGCGCATTGCACCTCAAACTGTTGCTTGCAAGCGTGTGAAGCAAGTTGCTCAACCACCATCACCACTAATATGCTCACCTTGCTCAAGCACCGTGACGCGAACCTTCATGCCTGTCTCACAGTTGGAACTACAGAACCCACAAAACGAGCGAGAGAGTGAGCACGCGTGAGGACGTTACCAGCAGAAACCAATTCACAAGTATCACACCAAGCCATCCGTCACAAGCCAGTCGAAAGCAGCATGTGAGGGTGATTGGCACGGTTGCCATGGAGTGACATACCCAACGCCTCCAACGAAAAAGTATGTCCCGGGATCAAGTGTCGCATTGTAGTCGCCCCTGGCACGCACAACAATTGCAATTGACAAAGTGTGTGAGCCAAAGAGAATGAAGCAACAGAAACGTCAGCGGAAGGCCACCACATGTCCAGCAACGCACGAGTAAGCTCTGGAACACATTTGGTTACACACTCTCCCACATACACTCACTCAAACTCTAACATACTCTCTCACATACACTCACGTACACGCTCACGCTCACGTACGAACCGCGTGCTGCGAGCAACGAGCTCTGTGCCCACGAGGTTGCAGTTGTCAAAGTCGTTCTGGTTTGTCACCTGGAACAGTCCATGTGCAAATCCTGCCAGCAGCGAAAAGAACACGCGTTTGTGTGTGTGTGTGTGTGTGTGTTTGCGTGTGTGTGTGTGTGTGTTGTTGTTGTGTGTGTGTGTGTGTGTTGTTGTGTGTGTGTGAGTGTGTGTTGTGTGTGTGAGTGTGTGTTGTGTGTGTGCGTGTGTGTTGTGTGTGTGTATGTGCGTGTAAGGGTCGTGTGGAGCCGTGCAAATCACGTGCTCTCACAACCAGCCCAGACAAAAACGCCAACCTCTTCCCCCCCCCAAACCTAGAAAACCTCAAATCAAACATAACGGTCAGATCTCTATGTCCATATCCATGTCACGGACGACGGACGCACCATATGGCTCCCATCGGAATCGAACAATGGTGCCTTGCTCCACAGTCAGGGGACCAAGTGCATCCTGCAGTGCTTGGCCAGACAAAAACTGGCCATCCTCGCGCTGAAACTGCCACAAGACCTGATTCAACAACGAAACCAACAAGAACATAAAGGGGGTTGTGTTGGCACACGAAGACATGGCCACGCAAGGCCAGCAGACGCTTGCTTGCTTGCTTATACGACACGATGCAGCCACACACACACACACACACACACACACACACACACACACACACACACACACACACACACACACACAAGCACACGCACACACACGCACACACGCACACACGCACACATGCACACACACACACATACACGCACACACATGCACACACACGCACATGCACACACACATACATACATGCACACGCATACCCACACACATATGCACGCACCGTTTCAACTTCCTCCTGTGCAGACGTGGTGCCTGCAAGCACGGCAGCCACCAGCACCACCAGCACGAGCAGCACGAACACACTCATCTCCTCTTGCTTTCTTTCTTCTCCCACAACAAACAAACACAAACACAAACACACAACAACCGCTTATGTGCTGTCGGGTGCAGTTTTGCTGAAGTTTAGTGGTTGTTTTTCGTTAACATTCCACACCCAATACAACACGGCTTGCGGCACACAACCAGACTGATCGACGATCACCTCGGACACACCTCTCTCACTCACACACACACACACACACACACACGCACACACACACACACACACACACACACACACACACACACACACACACACACACACACACACACACACACACACACACACACACACACACACACACACACACGCAACAGCTCCTTCCTTCCTCATATCACATCACATCGCTGTCACAACATCACCCCGGCCGCAGTGCTCTAGTTGACTCAAGAGTAGAAGAGCACCATGTCGGAAGAAGCGGGCGCAGGCCTGCAGGCGTTTGTGGAGCATGTGGAGGCGCTGTCGAAGACGTCGAGCGACAGTGGCATCAACGGCTTCGCGTACGAGTTTGCGCTGTTGCGGGAGCAGTCGAACGTGATCCGCGCCTCTCTTCCACACGAGGCAGGCACGTCCCCCTTCAACGCCATGAAGAACCGCTACCGTGACATCATCCCCTTTGACCACTGCCGCGTCGTGCTGCCGGCAGACCCGAGTGACGAGGACCCCGGTGCGGACTACATCAACGCCAGCTACATCAAGGACGCCGACGGCAACATGAGCTACATTGCGGCGCAGGGCCCGCTCTCGCACACGGTGGACGACTTCTGGCGCATGGTCTGGTCCGAGAACGCGCAGATTGTGTGCATGGCGTGCAACATCATCGAGGCGAACCGGTACAAGTGCAGCAAGTACTGGCCAGACGTGGGCGAGGAGGACGACTTTGGGGCGTTCACCATCAGCACGCTCGAGGAGAAGTTTCTCACACCCGACTTCTCCCGCC